CAAGGCTCATAAGATGTGGATCAGTCCCTGGATATAACAGGAAAAAAAGTTTTAAAAAGCATATGAATTTTGTTTTTGATCTTTTAAAATTTTTTAGGGGAAGAATACATATGTAATGTGTTTGTCATATAACTAGTCTCTAACACATAGCAGATTGCAAACATGTTATTTTCCTTTTCCTATCTCTAGCTAGTACCATAGGTATCATGGTGTCTCAAGGTCTGCCATTCTTCTTTAGCCATCTATTGGAACATAATACATATCTTGATTATTTCCCATTTATCCCCCTTGTTGGAGCTACCCAGACCACTATAGCTGGATAAATGCAAATGACCATAGATTCATATTTTTTTTTAAATGTTAACTGACCTTCCTTTTCCTATTTTGATTTTTTGATATTTTTATGGAAATTTTATTCTTGTGGACATGAATATTTTGGGTGAGAATGACATGCACAGTCAGAGAATGGAGTAGGTATTGCTAAGACAAGAGAATAAAATGTCGTGTGGGCAGAACCAGTTTGAAAATATTTGAAGCTTGATGAATAGATCTTAGGGTTGTAAAGTATTGTATTTCAGTATATTGAGATTTAAAAATATATTTTATCTGTTTTACATAGACAATTTGGGATCCATGTGAACGAATTTGACATCAGAAGTTGTATTTAGTCTCATGTAATCAAAGAATGTAAGAGCCAGAAAGCATATTAGAGATCATAATCCAGTGACCTCATATTACAGAACAGTTATTGGGGCTAAATGAACTGGCCAAGATCATAAATATGGTTGTGGTTGTCTAAAGGACTATAAACCAAAAGTAACCAATAACATGTCTTGTTTGATTAGAGTAGAGGTGTCGAACTCAATCAGAGAAGGGGCCAAAATCTAAAATCCAGCCTAAATCGCGGGCCAAATGGTTTACTGAACAGTCATAAACTGTCATTGTGATGGAAACGCAGCGGAGTGCAGTGATGACAGCGCGGTGCAGGCCACATTGCAAGGCCTGGCGGGACGGATTTGGCCCGCGGGCCTTGTGTTTGACACATGTGGATTAGAGCATTAAATTCAACCAGTTGAGAGTCATAGCTGAATAAGGGAGAAAAAATCCTATCTGTGGAGAAAAAGCATCTATTTTACCATAAGTACTAAGTGTTAATGAAGAAAATAAAAATGGCTACCTATTGAAATAAGTATGTGTGTGATAGCTAATGTTCAAACTGGACTTATGAAATTACCTATGTGCAGTTGGAAGTCTATTATGTTTTATGAGAAGTGAAGAACAAAAAAGTAAGATAAATGTCTGGAAATCCTTGATCAATGTTTCTCAAAGTATGTAGTCTCAAGATATTAGTAAACTGCATAAAAACTCCTGGGAAGTTTTCTAAAAATGCAAAATTCTGGGTTTTACTCTAGAATTATAGGTAAGCTTCTCTCGGGGCAAAGTAAGAGAGTGCATATTGTATAAATACCTGAGGTGATTTCAATACAGATGGTTTGGATAGGACTTCAAAAAGTACTATTTTAGGTTAATTACAGAGAAAATAATGATTCCATAGCAATAACATCTTTTAAGCATAAGAAAAATACTTAGAACAAGGCATAATAATGATTCTAGTATAATAAGAGTCCAATACATCTGGGTTTTAGTTTCAAATCCACAACTATCAAATTTTGGGTTCATTGTTTTACCTCCTCTGTTCCTATTTTATCCTCATTGCAAAAGCAAGCTTTTGAAAGATTTTAAGCAAGGGAATGACATGCTATTAATTATATTTGTTGCTGAATAAATATAATAAAAGTGTAGAACAAGTTAGAGGCAGATCAAGTTAGGTGAATATGCTATTGAAATAGTCTAGGTAAAAGATAATACTAGCTTAAAATAGGTTGTTGACAGTACAACAAGAAAATAGTGAATGAGATTTATTTTGTTAAGATCAGTGAGTTTATAACTTCTGAGGATTTAAGGGATATTAATGATTTGAGGGTTCAGGTATTTGAACATGAGATCAGATCAGGTAGGTCAGGGCTAAAAGACTAGGATAAAATGGTGCATTAGAGGACTAGAGGTCTCTCAGAAATCAAAGGACAAATAGGGTCAGAGTAGAACTGGGAGGATGGCAGACTGTGGCCAGACAGTGAGGTACTGGCATATCTGATTTCCATGGTGGAGCAATTCTATGTGATGGCCAGCTCTGGGTTAGCCATGAGAACAGCAGGCTAATGTGGAAGTCAGTGGAGTTGGAGAGGTTAACGAACTTGATAGGCCAGGATGCTGATTGAGTCATTTGGAACTTCAGTGGACAACTGTGATTCAAAGGCCAAAAGTTTGGGATAGTGACCAAATCAGTTGATGAGAGAAAACAAGAAATAGTTGGATGACCAAATGTAAGAGGAAAAGTAGCTTAGAGCCTGTTCTAGAGTGCCTTTAAAGAAAATATCTTCCCCTTTGATATGTGGATTGTGGGAAAATGAACTCCTCCATATCTGAGACAGTAGTCTTTTTTTTTTAAAATATATATTTTATTGATTTTTTACAGAGAGGAGGAGAGAGGGACAGAGAGCTAGAAACGTTGATGAGAGAGAAACATCGACAAGCTGCCTCTTGCACACCCCCTACTGGGGATGTGCCTGCAACCAATGTACATGCCCTTGACCTCTTGACCGGAATTGAACCTGGGACCCCCCAGTCCGCAGACCGACGCTCCACCACTGAGCCAAACCGGTTTCGGCAAGTAGGTTTTGATTTAAGGCAAAAGATTAGGTTTAAAAAAATTTTTTGTAAGCACCAGAGCACAAACATGCTATTTATTTGGTTGGTGAGATATATTTTGGTTTCAGGAGCAGCACTTCAAATTTGTCATTATAAAGAAATTTAAATTCATGAATACTTACATATTTCTGGATGAAATACTATGATGTCTGAAATGTGCCTCAAAATAGTAGAGGGTAGATGGATAGAGATGATAAATGAAGCAGTATTGGCCAAGTATTGATCCATTGATAATAGCTTGAAGCCCCCAGTAATGGACACATTCTGTTTTTGTTTATGTTTGAAGTTTTCTTTAATAAAATAAATAAATAAATAAATAAATAAATAAATAAATAAATAAACCAGTTTATCTTTATAGATTCATCCCATTGTTTGGGTTGGCATCTTTTCATAGTCTCACTTTGAGAAGCTTCTTGTCCACTCATGAGGAACATAGGGATATGTATTTATCCTCATTTGATCTTAAGGAACTTGTTCTTGGGTAAATGTCTGCTTAGAGGCTGACATGGGACTAGGTCTCTGTGTTTTTTTTACTTCTGGACCAGTATGTCTACCACCTGAGTGAGTTTGTAAGTTTCCATGAAGAGTATGTTAAAATTCAGAGTAGTTCTCTAGGGTCTTTGATTTTGGAAACATAGTCTTCATTTGATTGCAACTCTGACGTAATGAGATTGCCTTTGCACATATTCCTTTTGCAAGGGAATTTTTGTTCCATCTCACAGTTCATCATTTTAACTCCAACACATCCTTCAAAGTTCAAGTCAATCCCCACACACATACTCTCTGTGCCATCCCAACAATCATTCCTTTATTTGCATTTGTTCTGTATCTTGTTCAAACTTTTTTCATTTTATCAATCACAATGAATTTTAAATGTGTGTATGTGCATGTGTGTGTGCAATTTTCTCTAATAAACTAGAATCATAGACTTTATTTTTTAAACTTCAGGGCCTTTTACATAATGGCAACATGTAATATGTAGCTATTCAACAACTCACACATGCCTGAAACTATAGGTCTATGGCAAAGGCAAATTAAAAAAAAAAAAAAGGGAACCAAAATAACTGCCCTGGGCTTAGCCTATTTGTGAGTACTTATGATGTAGTATAAAAATCTGGGATTGTGAACATTTTCCTTTTTGGAAACTAAGTCACTCAGAGGTCTTCATTCAAATATCAGGGTGAATGCCAATAAATATAGAAAGTGTTCTAAGACCAAGTCACTTATAGTATTTTTTCTCTGAGTGTCCCTCCTATAGGACAAGATGGAGGTGGAGAAGGTGGGAAGCAGATGTTTGTTTCTGCAGTTGTGCAACTCATAGACTGTGAAAAATCACTTGTTACAGTAATGTAGGCCCACAGGAAGGAAGATGAAGTACCATACAGATGATCATGTCAGTTATAATGCTACATAATATCTAGAAAGGCTGATACAGAGTGATCTTTTGAAAGAACATTTGTTTATTAAGAATGGGGCACAATATATGTCTGAAAGGAATGCTTCACAAAACTTTGTAGGAAGGTATAGTTAACTTCAGACCATCTTCTTTGTCCTGAAGAAGAGGAGTGGGCTTTCACACATATAGTTTTCAAAGTGCTTCTCATAAGTATAAAGAGGAATGCAGCCCATCTTAATTAAAGAGTAAAATTTAAAATATATCCTCTCCCCATTTATTTTTCAACATACATCAAACTTATTTCACTGTGAAAGTGTCATTTCCAAGCCTGTGGGGATCTTATCTCCCAGTTAGGCTGGGCCTCAGTGGTAAACAGGAGGCACAAGGAGGACAGTGTAAAGACAGCTTTAACATTTTCAGCGAAAAGAGCCAATTTGTATGTGGTACTGATTTGCTTTTAATAACAAGCTTCCTCAACCAGAACTGATGAATTGGCATAAGAACAAGGGTACAAAAGGAACATCAAGGGGCCTTCCAACATTCTAACCAAATGATTAATTCTCTGTTTTGAGTGGCCATCATTTTATCCCTTGGAACCAGGAGATAAAAAGATGCAAAGTTTGTAATATATGCTGCCTGAATATATAAAGAACCAGTGCAGCCAGTGGTGTTGTCTTAATACTTTATAATCACATTCCATATATTAAGCAAATGCAAATTCTGCATGCTGCCCTTGAAAGGCAATTTCACTGCATACTAAATTGAAAGCAATCACTGGTACAAGCTCAACTAAAACATCTGTCAGGTAAACACCAAAGCATTTTCCACACAGTACTGCATTTTAAAATAGCTAACTTTATTGTCAGTGAAAAGATAGGCACAGAGTGGATTCACACCTGCTTAATTTTACTGGAACTAGCTCCGTTGATTACAGAATGGGGTCTTAATCATTATGAGGCCAAATACATTTCAAACCAAAGGTGATTCTTCTCTAGCCATCTGCCAACCACAGCTATTCATTTTACAAACACATGCCATTAATCACAAGGGAGGCCACAGAAGGAGGTTTGAAGGCTTCATATAACCCATCGTTGCTACCAGAAACAAACAAACAAACTCCCGACACTGGTCCGACTGATGATGGATGGCACTTGGAAGATATATTCCAAGGATCATGCCAGGCTGAAATTGGCGGCAATTAGCCCATAGCTAATGCTTTCCTTTGAAAACAGGTTCAGTAAGAATGCACACATTTTAAGTAACAAACTCCATATGTGAATGAGCAATTGAGATAACAGGAGATTGCATGGCTAACCGGCATGAGAATATAATTTATAAGAGTTAGTGCATATGTATACACTTTAAGTTGCTACATTATTAGTTTTTAGGCTCTTCATAACAAGTAGTTTGCATGGTAATTTTGTTAATTTTCCAACTGTTGTGCACAGCCAACTGTGTAACAAGAAAAAGAGAATGTGATGGGTCTCTTAGTATGTTTCCTATGGCAGGTGATGGCAAATATTTCAGGTTCCTACTATCCTCTCAACCTGAAGCTCAAAAGCAGCACTGAAAACAAATCCTTCATTAAAACAACAATTAAGATACATGATTTTATAAGAAAGCTTAAACTATTTTTATTTAATAAAAATGTTAATAAGAATTTCATATCAAGTAAAGTTTGTTCTAATGAAATTTTTCTGTACAAGGGACATTGAAGTATAACTGACTTAGAAGGTCCCCAGAGATCACCATGCAGTGCAAGTTAAGACAACAAGGTCACCCTCCTGTTCTGAGGTGCCAGTAAAATGCATAGATAGGTGGGAGTCCAGAAACGTCCCCCAAGTGTTACATTGACACAATTGTGAAAAGGTGGCTACCTTGAGATTTCTCCCATAAACCTGAATTTTTAAAAGTCATCTATTAGGGATCTTCTGAAAAGGCTGAATCAATCTTCTTTGTAAACATAATACACTGACATGGACTTCTTTCATCTCTCAAATGTACAATGTATTTGAGTAAATTACCTGGGATTAAAAACTGAGCCAAGAGGGAACCCTCTGGTGTGAGGGGGGAGAGTTGTTGTGGAAAGTTCAAAGTAATACTTAGCTAAAAACTTCCTCCTTTCCCAAAATACATGAGCCTAAAGAGATGACTGCCACACAGTATGGAATTATGGCATTTGTCACCTTACAGAGTATAAATAAAACCATGGCTCCCAGAGCTAGCAAAAATGCTGGCAATATATTATAAAAATGAAAGGTTTATTTTTTTCTATTTATTTAGACAGAAAGTAGCAGTAGTGAAGTTTGCTACTTGTTGCTTTTACTATGAGTTTTTTCTTTGACTAAAGGATAATATTAATGAGCATTAATACAACTGCACTTTTAAGTTCTATTTGTGATTCACTAAATAACTGAGGACTAATGTGTATGATAATCACTTCATTATTAAAAATGTCAAGACTGCTTGAAAAACCACATCACTTTCCCTCTTATCTCCTCCTTCCCCCCACACAAAATAATTCCTTTGAAAAGATGGTCAGCAAACTGCGACTCATGAGCCACATGTGGCTCTTTGGCACCTTGAGTGTGGCTCTTCCACAAAATACCACTGCCTGGGCGAGTCTATTTTGAAGAAGTGGCATTAGAAGAAGTTTAAGTTTAAAAAATTTGGCTCTCAAAAGAAATTTAAATCATTGTACTGTTGATATTTGGCTCTGTTGACTAATGAGTTTGCCAACCACTGCTTTGGGAGATCATTGGGAATGACACAAGAATACTGTTAAGTATGTCATTCCTATACTTACAGAGAAACTCTGTAAGATTATCAAAGACAGCCAATCTCGTAGCAAGAGAAGGAGTGAAGTTGATATTTTAGGGTAGATGTCCCATGTGACTCCATACTGAAATCAGAATCAGGAAAGGAAAAACCTTGCAAAAGGCACTGCAGGAGAGGCAAGATAGGAACTCAGAACCCTGTACAAACTACTGAAGCCAGGGCCAGTTTACAAAATACATATGCCCTGGACTGTGAAGATACCTTTTCTTAAAATGGGGATTTTTATATATAAGGGTTTCCCCAGATAAGTATGGTATTTGGCAGAATGGGAAGTTGTGTTGTATGATCTTGAAAAAGTCACTTAAAGTCTTCAGGTCTCAGAATCCTCATCACAGGGTTGGGCTATTGTATTGTTAAAATTCCTCCCAGCCACTATGCCTCACAATGTAATATATCAGGCCTATTCTTCTATTAATCTGCTTTCTAACTAGCATATCCCCAAACCTCTACCCCCCACCCTTATATAACACCCCCAACCCCTTCACTTCCCCCCAAACCCTTGAAAACTGATATTAATGACATTAATTGTAGATTTATCATCTTAATAAAGGGTAGATAAATGACACAGAGCAGTGACCTATGGCAATAAGCAGCCGTTCTGTGTTCCTGGAGGCAGCCTTTAGGCAAAGCTTGGAGTCATGCCCTCCTTGGTCCCTGCCCACGTACATTTCCTGCTGCTCTCCAAAAGTATTCCAAGATGGAGTCACTGGTCATGAAAAGAGGTAGCTGAGGACTCTGCTGCAACCCACCTCTCCCCTGACTACAGCACAGTACTTTGGGTTTCTGATGCTTTTCCCTTGGAGGTGATAGTCAAATATGTCTAAGAATTTGAAAAATAAAATGAATTATTTCAAAGTAGTCACCAGAAATTCAAAGCATTGAACCTGTTACCAAAAGTGCTTCCTCATTTTGCAAATAATTGACAATTTGAGACTGGTGACACAGCCAGTGAATTTGTGCTGAAGAAGAAGTATACACTAAGCAGAATGGTCTCAGGAAAGGCAAGAAAGCTGTTCATGGCAAGACAGAGACCACAAAGGTCTACATTCAGCAAGCGCCTCATGCAACTCTCCATCAAGGCCTCCGGTGGTTTAACTCTCTAAGAGAGAGGAAGTTTAAGCTAACTCTCCTAGTGGCTGAAAGCAATATATTAAATACCCAAATGCATAAATTATTCCAGAGTATATATATATATATGAATGTATGAACCTCCAAGAGGGAACCAAAAGAATCAACTTCCAAAGCACCACTGAAATGAAGATAAAAACAATCCCAGGGTAGCTGGGAAATTGGAAGGGAAAATTAGCTCCAGCACCCTTCCACACCCCAATACTCCCTACCTTTCCTCCAGTTTACACTGCTCCAATAACTATTTCCTTTCATAAGCCCATGGTAAGAGCTCTCTCTCTGGATGCTGCCTAGATGGTAACTCTGCAAAACATCACATGTGCAAATTCTCTCCGGCATCCCATTTCTGAACTACTTTTACACACTGTCTTCCAAACATACTATGCTCTTCAATAAAAAATTATCTGTAATATGGAAATGCTAAAAAAATTTTAAGCACATTGCAAAACATTGATGAATATCCAGCTATTAACAGTCTCAGTATTTGTATAAATCCAAATGATAACCTTTAGAGCACACTGATTGGTTTGTCTTTAGAGGTACTCTCTAAGTGCACCAAAATAGACTGGAGTTCATATGACATTGCGAAGGTACTATAATGTCTCAATTAAAAAGTCCCTATAAAAAACATTCTCCCAACCCCTTGTGCTGACCCTCAAAATAACAACAACAAAAGGGAAAAAATCATTAAGAGTATTCTTGCTGAGAAACTGAAGCTCTTGGTTAGAACATTTAGATGAGATATTCCACCATTTCTGCATCAGGCTCTTGTCCCAGGATCTGAGCAGCAGCTTTTCTTTCCAGAGTACTGGAGTGGAAAACGGGACCATCTAAATAGAAATAAGGGATTAGAAAACACTTAGAGATAACATAAAAACACAAATTTCTAAAAATGTACAGCTTTTAAAGCCCCTATGAAGTCAATAACCAGGTGAGACTTGCTTGTCACCTGTCTTGTTCCCCTGAAAATTTATTTACTTCTGTTGGGAGAAAATTTATTTACTTCTACTGGGAGAAAGGCCTGGACTCATTTCAGTTCCCATCTTAGTGTCAGATAAGTTATTCACAGACTCTTTGCCCTCATCTCCTCTGATTAATCTTTTTTAGAATATGAAAAACCTCCCTCCAAATGACCAACTGTGCCCAAAACAGCAGGTACAAAAAACAAGTCTGTAATTGAGGGCAGAATCAAAAGCTATCTGGTAGAGCATTATTACCTGTCTTGTCTGGATTACAGGCCAAATTAGGTATAGACAAGCGCCGTGGTCCAGAAACAGTGGCTGGAGTTGTAGGAGCCTCAGCCTGAGCCAAAGATGGAGTTGGAGCTGGAGTTGGAGTAGCAGCTGCAACTGGAGATGGAGTCGGTATCTGAGTCAGAGCTGGAGCAGAAGCCTGAGCTGCTGCTGGAGCTGGAACCGGAGTTGGAGCCCGAGCTGGAACCGGAGCTGGAGTGGCTGGAGCAACCTGAACAGCAGCAGCAGCAGAAGCAGGAGCAACAATAGATGCAGAAACAGCAGAGGCAGCAGCTGGAATCTGAACAGCAGCAGCTGGAGGAACAGCAGCAGCATGAACAGCAGTAGCAGTTGCTGGAGATGGAGTAGCAATAGCAGCAACAGCCACTGGAGCAGCAGCTACCATGGTGGTGGTGTTGGTGGCAGCATTGGCAGTGATGGCGGCAGCAACTGTAGCAGGAATAGAGATTGGAGTAACAGCTGCAGTTTTGTTTGCTTCAGTTCCCCGTTCTGTTTGGGTGCTGCAGTCTCGGCTTCCCGTCTTAGAGTGAGCTGAGAGCAGGGGAGTCGAGGGCGGCACTGGTGAGGGTGTAGAAGAGACAGATTCTGCACGGTAGTCTCCACCCAGGAGAATGCCTACAAAGGAAAAAGGGAAAGAGGTTAGAAAACTATACTTTCTTCAAATGCAGATATCTCATTACCTCTTTTGTCTTTGTAGGACACATGTGTCAAACACAAGGCCCGCGGGCCAAATCCGTCCCGCCAGGCCTTGCAATGTGGCCCGCACCGCGCTGTCATCACTGCACTCCGCTGCGTTTCCATCACAATGATAGTTTATGACTGTTCAGTAAACCATTCGGCCTGCGATTTAGGCTGGATTTTAGATTTTGGCCCCTTCTCTGATTGAGTTCGACACCCCTATTGTAGGAGGTTTAGGATAAATGTGAATTGGTCTAATTCTTTATTTTGTCCTCATTCAAACCCAGAAACCAGTTTGTCATGCACATCTCATCACACGTAAAAGTTTCTTTCAGACTTAGTAGATCCCTTCTGGTTCTCATTCTCCAAGCCCCAGCATATAATATTAAACCTTAAGTGTCATGGGTATGTGTTTTGATTTATTTGTCCAATGGTGATTGATTTCCACCAAGCTGTCAGAATGCTTCTATTTGTTTCCACCTATAAATGACATCATCCATACTAGACAGCTGGAAAGGATAGGTGGAAGAAGTCTGTATTCACATATGAATGTGATAATAATTGTGTAATCTAAGGCTCTAATCATAACCATGGTCCCCAAAGTGCCTACTCTAACTAAAGGGCACTGCAAGTGTCACAGAACCAAGGAAGTTATTAGAAAAAACAAAAACAGCTAAAATTAAAATATATACAGCTTGTTTCCTCAGGCTTTAATAAAGTGCCTTGCAGTATCACAAATACTTCTGGGGTTTTGATTAGAAGGGAAGGAATGGACAGGGAAGAAGTGAAAAAGTACATTCTATTCTCATCTCAGAACATTCCGGTAACAAAAACTTGTCACCCAGCTCCATTTAGCTTAACTAGAACTCTAAGTCCTTGAATTTTATGGGAGAAAAGAACATAGAAAAAGCTGGAATTAAAATTTTTAATGGCCCAAAGGCTATATGGGCTTTGAACAAAAGGTCTCACATGGTAAAGGTCAAATATGAGAATTTTTAGAGGAAACAAGTTGTTTTCCTTCCCACCCAAATAGAACTCAGGATTCTTATTTCTAAGGACATGGCTTCAACCAATGTTTTCTCTGTGAGACCTCACAGTGTGAAAAAGCTCCTGATATACAGCTAGCCTCTCAGGAGGATCCAACCTGTGATATCTTCCTTTCTATAATTTGGACCATCACTCTTTTCTCTTGCTGTGTGAGCACATATCTAAATCAAGGCTCTCCTTAAACATGTTGCTTTAATCTTCCTTATTTATTGTCATTACCTAGGCTCCCTTTCCAGCTCTTATCATCCCTCTTCTCTTCCATGATGGGGGTGCCAGTCAGGGTGGAAGAGTGGGAGAGCAAACCCGATCCAGCATTGGAAATGGACATCAGAGACTTTGCTGGCCGCATGGATGACAGCTGCTCTGTCTTACTAGGCTCCTTCCGGGAACGCTGCTGGAGTACTTTGATCATGGCATCCTTCTCAATAATCTGGGCATGGAGGGTCTTAATCCTAGGAGCCAAAGACAAAGAACATATAAAGATCTTGTTGCCATCCTCATGTTCTACTCTCTCAGCCTACATGGACTTGAACTTCCATGACCTTTTTGACTAAGTGGTGGTCTAGTTATTTCTGAGTTTTAAGACAAAGGACAGTGCTACATTTTAAAAATGCCTTTCTGTACCCCCAGATGGATAAAACAGAGCATGCAGGAGTTGTTTAAATTTTAGGAAGCCAAAGTACAATATTGGGGGGTGGGGAGAGAAAGGCCATATATGAGAGTAAACCTATGTGATGGGTGTTATAGTGAAGAATTTGAGTCAACAGAAATGAAGTGAGTGAGAAGACGGGAACTTCTATACTAGTAAATGGGCCATAACCTTCAAGTAATAAGTAAATGATTATGAGTTTATAAGAGACATCAGGTATAGAATGACTAGATATTCTTTTACTGAGCACTGTGCAGTATATATAATAGAGTTATGGTATAATGCTAGAAAGAATATCCCAGAGTGCAAATAGCAACGGTTCAGTTCTGGCAGAAGGCAGATGGAAAGCAATTACCAAGGTGAAAGGGGAAAGCAATATTACTTGGAATTCCATAGTGAGTGGGAATGATCAAGGTAAAGGTCATTGCATCTCATATCCTAAGTAATAGGCTGGCAGGAGTTTAGGAGTGGGGAAAACTACATTATTGGGTTTCTCAATTGTGAACGAAGATGCTCACCCTTCCCTACAGACCTATTTGGTCTCCATACCAACCCGAGGTCCAGATCAACATTTTACCTGCCCTCCATATCAAGGCAACGCTTGTTGGCCATCAAGATTTCTTCCTCCTCCTTCTGGATGCGAGCTTCGAGAGCTGTGTCATAGCTAGTGTTAGGAGAGTGGCTGATGACTGTTGTATCCCTGGGAAGGAAATGGCAGTATGATCATGAGAGGACAGCAAAATCAAATCCTATCCCCTTCCTCAGTAGAAGTTATTGCTGGGAAAGCCCTAAACTGAAATTAAACTTATTAGGCCAGATTAGTTTCTGGGCGACTAACCTTTTAAGAGCTTTCAAGATAAGAAACTCCAACTTTCAGAACTAGAAGAGGTGAATGGCCTAGAAGTAACTGCAAAAGTCAATGAGAGATTCTATGAGAGGTGTGCACGGGTTTGTCTTCAAAACTAAGCGAATATCCTTCCAAAACATTCTGACTTTCACATTTTGGCCAAGCAATAGGAGGATAGTTATATTTCCACTTTAATTATTTATATTACATATAAGATATTTTATATTTCCATTTTATTCTCATGACAGTCATAAAATGAAAAAAAGCTATATTTTTAGTGTGACAGATGAATAGCATTAACTATACCTAAGTGCTAGAAACAAACTATAGACATGTCAACAGATAGAGCATGTGAGCTGAGTGAGAAGCAGGGTCTTTGTGTCAGTGTCACATGAGTCCTATCTAACCTGCATCTGAAAGATTCTGGTTCCAAACCATTGAGTCTCCCCCAATTAAGTGACTGTTCTCTTGCCAAAATCTCAACTGCATGAGGGACCATCATGTTCCATCTGAAAGTGCCTCAGGCCATTGACTCAAAGACTAATTAATGAGAGAGAGAGAGAGAGAGAGAGAGAGAGAGAGAGAGAGAGAGAGAGAGAGAGGAGAAACAGAAAAAGAAGAGGGTCTAGCCATGGGCAATGCTAATGTCTAATTAGCACAAGTCAAAAACAAGGGAATCTGTTGATAAGTGAAGTCATTGCATCTTTCTTTGGTTCATTTACAACTAGTAGTAGAGAAGGGAAATGCAACAAAGAAAACTGGGTCTTTTTGGAGTAATGTGGAGGGAAAGAAAAGAGATTAAGAAGAATATTAATGTGATTATATTGCTCTTAAAGAAAATCAGACAATAGGCTGAGAAAACAATGAACTGGCACTGCTTCATTATATTTCCTATGAGAACATGGATCTGTGGGAGAACTCCAGACATATTTTCTGCTGGCAGCTAGCTCTAGCTCTGTTCTCTTAGTTTAGAGATTGTGTCCAGTGCAGATGGGAGCAAAGGAGCAATGGAATGAAGAGGCAGAAAGTTAGTATTAAAGTTGGGAAATTTTGGTGTGCTTTTGCAAAAATATTGTCCCGCAAAACACTTGCACCTTATATACAGGGCTGAAACAATTTATTTGAATAGGGAAATAATTGGAGAGCAAAGAAATAATGTATTACAATGGCTCTCATCATTTGCTAAATTCAAAATATTTTAGCATCTCAGAATTCTACACTTGCTCTAGTGCAGTGCTTAAAGTCCTACTTGAAATGGCTCCTGTGCTCCAAAGTACCCAAGAAGAAATGGCACTGTATAGTGTTGAGAGCACAGGCTCTGAATATAGACCACATCAAACCCCAGCCTTCCCAAGTTCACTGCCACTAACAAACTCTCTGAGCTCAAGAAGTCAGTTAACTGCTATAGGTCTCAGTTTCTTAATATACAAAATGGAAATAATAATTGTACCTATATCTCATGGGGTCTTTAGGGGATAAAATTGAAGTATGCATGTAAAATACATAGTGCCAGACACAGTAAAAATACTCAACAAAGTTATCTATTATTAGGAGAGAAAAGTATATGTAGAAGGAGAATAACATAAAAGAGATTATGACTAGAAAGAATTCCAGCTCTTGGTATAATCCTGGAGGCATTTCCTGCAGTACAGAGTTCCAGTGTGATGGCTGAGGCTTCAGAGCCAGACCTCTCTACAAAGTGCATGGTATCTATGGACACTGGAAACTCGAGCATATTGATTTGTCACTGGGAGAGCCAGTGCTGGCTTACTGCCACATGCATTGCATAAAAGACCATTTGGGGGACTCAGTGCCCTGCCAGCTAATTGATATGGAAACTGTGAGATCCTCAGGTTGGAGCCTGGAAATGTGGGGCACTTAGTGAATTCCTACAAAGCTGCCAGGACGGCCTTCAATATCAATGTTCTTTCTAGAAGATGGTCTACTAAGCCAACAGTTTAGGCAAAAGCAAGCAAGCACAGTGTTTGAAGGAGCATCTTGACCTGATAAATTTCAATACTGTGAAATGATTCTTAAGCACATTCATAGGGAGATGGTGAGCTTGAAAACACAACCTGCAAATCCCAAATCCTAAGTCCATGAATTTGCCATGCCCCATCTCCAATTCTTAAGTAAAACAGTTTCTGGCAACTGTCTCTCTAGCCATCTTCTCTCTCCTTCCTTTCTCAAACAAAGTTATCCCCATCACATTACTTACATTGTCTTCTAGAATACCATCCATGACCTCCAAATTAAAAGATCAAGTGGCCTTTTAAACTTCAAGTCTATCTTTTCATGTAGGTATCATCCTTTTGTTTATTAATTATGTAAACTCAGACATGAGTACAGCACTGAGTTTGAAGTTACTATGAGGCTAGAGAGTGGCTAGATATCAGTAAGACTAGTTCCTGACTGCAGGAAACTTGTAAGGGGAAACAAAAAAGTTAATAATTAATGATTACAGAAATGAGTTTGGACTTTACTCCAATAGGCACTAAAAATAATTAGAGCTTTTTGAGAGGATTGGACAATAGTATTATCTCTTACTGAAATGTGATGGTGGGATTAAAGGAGCAATAATACTGGACACAGGCAGACCAGTCAGAAAGTTATATTGAAATAATCTCAGCAAGATAGAATTAAAACAGGAACTATTAAAATAGTAAGGGAAATGGAAACAGACTATAGAAGGCAGAATTGCTAGAACTTGGAGAGTGCTTAAATTTGTGTGTTAAGGTGAGGAAATAATGAATGAGAACTTTGTTGTTTCTAATTCAAATTACTAGAAGAGATGACATACCACTCATTTTCTGAGACAGGAAAATGGAGAAGATATTTTTTCCCAAAAAACACACACAATATAATGGGTTTTTATTTTAATGTGTTTTACAAATAGCCATATAACAATATCCAAAAAGTTGTTGAAATTTCTAACTTTAATTTTAGAGATGCCAGAGTAACTACTTGAAGCTATAACACAGAACAAAATAACTAAGACAATGTAGAATGGGAAGAAAGCTAAGGATGGAAATTGAGAAAGGCCTAAGATGAAGGAAAAGGTAGATACATGTAATGTGTGTGACCAGCTCCTATCTCCTGATTCTCTTTCTTCCTTCTTTCCCAGATTTACTTTGCCCCCAAATAAGAATGAAACTTGCACATTCTGAGAGGTTGATCAGGTGTTTGTTGATTTTTTTATCCTTTTGCTGCTCTTCACCAACTGCACAGCCAACTGGGTTCTTCTGGGATTGAATTCCTATGTGGTAATAATTTTCCTCATCTATTCTAAGCATCTAGAGAGGAAACAATCTCTAGGGACACAATAATATCAAATTATAAAATAATGTGATTATTTATAATACTTTTTAATCCTCTCCTGATAATGTGTTTTTATTTATTTTTTAGAGAAAGGGGAAGGGAGAGGGAGAGAGAAACATTGATCAATTGCCCTGTATGCACCCTAACCAGGGATCAAACCCACAACCCAGGTATGTGCCCTGACCAGAAACTGAACCAGCGACCCTTCATGGCACGGGATGACACTCAACCAACTGAACCACACCAGCCAGGGTTATTTATAATATTTCTAAGTGAGTAAATAATAAACCTCAGATACTGGTAGTAATTCTTAAACAGGTAATAATCCCTATTTCATCATCTTTGAAATCATGATATCTGGGAGGTAGCAGAGTATAGTGGCTAGGTGCCAAAAATGTAGATTTAAATCCTGATTCTTCTGCCTCATAGTAGTTGTGCGTGATCTTGGGTTAACTATTTATATGATGCCTCAGTTTCCTTATCTGTATAATGGATAATAGTACTTATCTGAAAGAATTATCATGAGGATGAGCAATAATTTTAAAGTGCTTAGAAGAATATCTTATACAGTAAATACTCAATGTGATTTCTTGCAATGACATCTTTCACTTTGACAAGAAGTGTTTCAGAGAATCACTTTGCTGGAAGGAGTATAAGTGGAGGCAAAGTATAAATAGTTTGCCCAAGATCACAGACAGCTACCAACAGGTAGAAGAATCAGGATTTAATCTACATTTTTGACACCTTAATCTTTATTCTGCTGCCTCCGAGATATCATGATTTCAAAGATGATGAAATAGGTACTATTACTTATTAAATATATCTTTTAACCTGAGGAGAGATAGTTGTCTAGTCTTATGTTAAAATATGTATTTTATTTTTCATTAAGGCTAAACATTGGAAATAATCTAAATATCCATTATCAAGTGAATGGTAAATCCATATCATGAAACACTACTCAGCAATAAAAAGGAATAAACCATTGATACAACTTGGATGAGTCTCAAAATAATTATGCTTAGAGAAAGAAGTCAAGCAAAGCATACATACTCTAAGACTCCTTTTATATGACATTCTAGAAAAGGTAAAATTATAATGACTTGTGGGGGGGCAGGCATGGAAGAAGAAATCAAGTTAAAGGGGCACAAAGACACTTTAGAATGCGTCCACTATCATGATTACATAATTGTATACAATTAGTAACATTCATCAAAACATACACTTAAAATAGGTGATTTTGAATATGTAAAATAAACCTTAATTGAAAAAAACTGCAACTATCATTAATACCATCCAAACAACATGTCCTAAATGTGCAACCTGCTATTTACCTATAAGCTATTATGATGGGAATATATTAAGTTTGAGATAATAGCAGAATACAAAGAAATCAAGCAGACCATTAAAATGGGGCACTAGATTTCAGCATTTTAATTATAGAGTTAGACATCACCTTATTTCTTTCATTTTTCTTTTCTCCTTCCTTCCTTTATTCGTTTTTACTTCCATCCTTACTCAAATATATGTTGGGCAGTTCCCATCTGCACTCAATATCTTGGGCACTTAAAATTATTTTAGAAGAAAATAGAATAGTGCACAAAGCTTTTACTATGAAAAGAGCCAAGGAGCAGACCTTGGTCAATACCAAAACTTTCTACACCTGGTGATTTAAAGGAATTCTATTTAAATTAAATCTATAATACCTTGTGGAGCCAACAGATTCTGGAAAGAGATCCATTTGAAAGGTGTTTCCCCCAATACTCAAAATTTCACAGGAAAAAAAGGAAAGGGGGTCACTTCTTCATACCAGCCTCACGACAACTTCCTCACTTTCCTGCATCTTGACCTGGAGTCTTATTCTTGAAGTCAGTTTCAGCAATGAACCTCCCAGTACTAAGAACCCTGGCTTTCTAACATTTATTCACACTGCATACTTCATGAGCTATATCTTTCTAAGTTTATACACAAAGACAACAAAATTACCTTGCATCTACTTTTCAGTGTTAAGAGTTTCCTGAATAAATTCTGAACAAGCGCTGGGCACAGGTGTTTTCTTGGGAGCGAGGAGATAAAATTAGAATAAATTCTGCTTCTAATCTACCTACAGACTTCTCGGCCATCTGAGTAGCACAGCTGGAGTGTCTGTGCACTCTATCACTACACTGACATGTACTGAGCACACTTCTCAGAAAACAAAAACAAGTAAGCTTAAGACCATGAGGAATTCAAAGTCAAGAAACAGGTGATTCTAATCTCTTTAAGGTTCATAGAGGACACCAGGAAGCAGGCAGATAAACATAAGATGTCTTCCTGGAGAATTGGAAATAAGTTTAGAAATCACCAGTCCAGCTCTTAAGCACCGGTCTCCCTCTGATTCAGCAGGAGAAAGACTCAAAATTAAATGTATCAACTGCCTCCTCCACACAAAGACACCAGCTACAAGTGTGGCAAGTGCTTTCAGACTCTTCCAGCTCACCATGTTTAGGAGAATCTTAAAAATAACACTGCAGTTCTTAATAACTTTCTGGATAGAGACTGTGAGGGGTGTAATATGCTATATAGCCCACCTTGAATATACAGCTCCAGATCAAGGCTCTACCTGTAGATCCACAACACATATCATCCCATTATTTGAATTTAGTTTTTCTGTGTGTGTGTGTTTGAAATACGTTTTTATTGATTTTTTAGGGAGACAGGAAGGGAGAAGGATAGAGAGATAGAAACATCAATGAGAGAGAAACATCATTGATTGGCTGCTTTCTGCATGCCCCCTACTGGGGATTGAGCGCAAAACCTGGGCATGTGCTCTGACCAGGAATCAAACCAGTGGCCTTTTGGTTCATGGGTCAATCCTCAACCATTGAACCACACCAGTAGAGCACGAATTTAGTTTTGTCATTGTTTCATTCTTTCCCAAATGATGAGTATGACTAGCACAGAGCCAAACAAACTGGATAAGAACAGTTTCCTCCAAAGATAAAAAATTACTATTTGTAAAGTGAAAAGGGGAACAAATAAGCTGAAATATTTTTAAAATCCTCCAGCCATTTTTCCCTTATCAAATAGAATGTGACTGCTTACATGTGATAGACTCACGGACACAGAGAATGTGTCCCTCAAGTATAGACTTTCTCAAAGGGCAGAATGGATTCATGTTAAGCATAGCCTTTGGCATACCTTGGACAAGCCAGAGGTATCAAATGGCAGCAGCCACTCCTGAGTGACATTTAGTTTTGGAGTACATTTCGCTGGAGAGTCTTTCACTCCAGTTCGGGGGCTAAACAAAGAAACCTACACATTTGGCTGAAAGACACTGTGGCTCTGGCTATGTAGATGTGCAAATGGTTCATTTGATTCCATCTGTGATTGTTCTGGCTTCTGAGGAAAGCTGAACTATGATTCCAATAAGTTTATAAGTAACTTTCATTTTCAAATTGCTGATCCTCTGCCCCCCCCCCCCCAGTCATTCAGTCTCTGCATAACCAAATGAAAGAAAGCACACTTAAGTAGAAAGTAGGAGGGGTGGAGAAGATTAGAGAAGAAAAAAGAACACACTGAAAAATCTATTAATTAGTCACCTTTTTGTTCTTCTCCAACCCCCAGCCCCATGCCCTTCAAGGAGTGACTGTACCAGCCAAGCAGTTACCTCTGAGCAGCTACAGTTGCAGCAGCATCCAGAGCAAAATGTCTCATCACATTCTCCTCTAAGTACTTTTGTTCCCACTTAGTCATATCAGCTTCCAGGGCCAGGATCCTTTCCTCCTTTTCACGAAGGAGCTCCATCAGTGCAGCAGCATTGTATTCCGAAACGTTGGTGGGCTGAGAGTTGCCCTGGCGCTGTTGGGAGAGATGCCAACACCTCTTAGATTAGTAGGAAAAGAAGTGTGGTGGCCAAGTCCCATTTTGAAGAGTCTCTATTTGGAAAGAATTACTGCCCCAGCCACTTCAGTTTGGATTCCGATTCTGAAGCAAAAGGGAATTCAGATTTTCTCCTAAGACCACAGTATTGTCTATTTCAGTCTTGAATCTGAGACTCCCTTGATCAAGAAAGGAGCATGCCATATCAAATTGTCATGCTGCCCAGAAAGTGGATAAATGTTTTACAAAGCACCATGCTTGCCTGCCTGCATGGTACAGTATATGATTAACATTGGAATTACAAATCTAGGCTTTGGTTTTTACCTTGCCCCTAACTTGTTGTTGGGCTTTCAATGAGTCATACAACTTTTTCTAGGTCTTGATTTACTTTCATGTAAAAATGAGGGGTATGGTTAGATTATTCTAAGGACCATTTCCAATTTGAAAATGATTAGGAATAAACTTTTATAGCATCTTTACTTCTTGTTGGATCTACTGTTTCTGGGGTTCATGTGAAAAATAAAAGGTGCAAGATAATAGGCATTAAGGATTTTGCTGTGATAGGAAAGCTAACTAAGCAAGCTTCACCTTTACAATTAACAGGTACTCTGGAGTAAGATAGGGTGAAGCAAAAATTCTAAAGATGAGCATTAGTGTGTTTTTGTCTTCATATCAAACACCAATGGAAAAATAAGCAATCAGGAATACTCCTTTTCTTTAAGTTCCCCAAACCTGCTGAATTCTGAGGGATTCCAGTTCTCTCTCCAGCCGTGTCCGGAGACGGTGTTCCAGCTGCTCACGCTTTTCACATGCTGCCTGGAGCTGAACAAGGGCCTGCTGCATCTTCTCCACCTTATCTACATACACCTGCTTCTTTTTAAGCTGAAAATCAGGTTGAGACAGGATGAAGGGAAGATAACAAGATCAGTTATGCACTCTACCGTAGCCCATGACTGTTTAGCTCTCTTCTTGTCCAACTTTAAAAATGAGTGCATTGGGCTGGCTTTAGCTCAGCGGTTCCTTCGAGTAAAAATGAGTGCATTGTGAGAAGGTTCTTAATGATAAATACCAGGCTGCCTGGCATTTATCATACAGAGAATGCAACAAGTGACAGGAATTAGGAGGTCCTTTGTAATCTCATTCTCCTTCCCTATCTCTAGGTTTTCCCCAAATCTATTTCCACGAGTAAAATCAGACAGACACTACGATGAAAGTAGCTCTTAAAATGTTTGGATGTCCTCACCTCTGCTCTTCTTCACTCTAATCTGTAATATACTGGGGGAAGGTATAGCTTACTTTGGTCAATACAATAGAGAAATGCTAAAAAAAAAAAAAAAAAAAAAAAAAAGGGGGGGGGGTGCTCTCCAGGGGAAAAAAACTTAATTTGGCATGGAAAGGAAGCTCATCTCTCCCCTTTATGCAACTGTCTCCCTTTATGCAGGTCAATTGCTAAAGGTACAAGGAGTTTGCAATTGTCTTTTTGAAGCCTGCAGTCCTGGTAATTACCTTTTATTAAAGGAACAGAGAGTATGTGCAATTGATGCCTCATTCATGAGCCTGAATTGATAATATTGAACTATAATCTCTCAGCTTTTGGAGGGAGATCTTTAAAGAACCCTAAAGACTCAAAATAATGAATCAAATATAAAACTAAATAAGTCAAATGCCTCTTCTTCCCTGAAAGCCTATGAGCCATATCCCAAAGCAAAGGTAGGAATAGGCTGAGACTAACAAATTTAAATTATTGTACCTTTGCAACTTACAAGCTAAGTCCTGGCTCCATGGGAATGAAGGAATGATAAAATACTCTCTTTAAAGAAGGTATACATACAACTAAGAAAACAGGGAAAGTACATCCTTCCAAAGTTGTTAGTAAATGAGCAGATTATGCTTTTCATACTACTTGTAAAATGCATTTCTTGCTAATAAAATCAACCCATAGACTCTCTATAAAGCAGAAATTTTTCCAAATTGTCATCATTATTTTCATGGAGGATAAGGTTAGATCATAATTATTATTATTATTTAAATCTGATAATAACTTGGTCAAAAGGAAATTAGAGAATTCAGCTTAACTCTAACTTTTCAACCAATACCTAAGTCCTTGAGCTACATAGGCAGATAGTTTCAATGTAAGAAGTTACCCATTATATTGGCATTGCCCATACCCACATAGCAGGTGCCAAGCAAGGTTAACCTGACTACCCCATGTAGAAACTAGATAACTCCTTAATAGTAATGAGTCAAAATCACAGTCAGATGCCAAAGGCTTGTGCTAGTGGGGAAAATCTTCTGTCTTTTAATAGCCTTTTTCACAAATTGGAATTGAACTTTCTCCAGGTAGGAAAAAAAACAAAATGTTATACTAGCATTTTCCTACCAGACCTGTAGTATGTTTTGCCTCAGTGAATAAAAAAAGAATTAATTTTTTTTCTATACGTTCTTGACATTTCCTTTTATCAATATTACAAGTCCTAGTTCAATCTAACCTTATAGACCAGATGTCACAAGCTATAAATATACATGTGTATATACATTAGACCTTTACCTAATAAATAAAAGAAACAAAAGTCATCATTCTCTTTGCCTCAATAAGCATAAAACTCCCTTTCCTTGGATACATGACTATTGATAACAACACTGGCTAGACTAGGGCAATGAAGACCTTTAGGCCATAGGTGCCTCTGCCTTCCTATTTGCTAAACTTTGAATAATTGGGAAGCAGAAAATATCCTTTATCCTTCACCTTTTGGGTTCTATAATCCTCATGAGTTATTTAAAGTTGAATGTATTTATTTGTGAACTGCTCTGAAAACCTTAGGGGAGCAATGCAATGTTAATGCAGAGTATGTTAACTATAATTACTGAGGTTTACAGCAGTTATACTTAAAGGCAATTAAAGTTAGATAGCATGCAGTTCTTGTATTAATGGTAAAGTATAGCAATGTAAACTCAGACAACTGAAAAATAAGCAGTCCATGGACAGGTGAATTTCTCCATGCTCTGTCTTCTTGAGAAAGGAAACCTCAATCTTTTACCAAAGGGATTCTCAGCAATTTCCATTGCTGAGCCACCCCTCTGAAATGGAAAAACAATAAAAAAGCAGAGTTTTCTCAGTTGGCTGAAGATAGACATGCAGATCAGATAACTTCCACAAAGCAGGCCAAGAAAAATCCCATTATGTTTTCTTTGTCATTGGGATGATTTCCCACAAGGTACAAGGACCTGTTGCTGGAATAACTCTACCTTTAAAAAAAAAAAACAAAACCACAAAACAATGCAGCTCACCCATAAGCATATGATCACCTAGTAAATGCTTAATCTCTAAATAAATAAGGATAGGAAAGACAACTTTTGGATGCTACTAATGCAAGACCTATAAATACAAACAACAAGGTCAACTATCTTCTTAGTTACATACTCTGTTTTCTAGATATCTTCAATAAGTAGAAAGAAACAAAGGCCTACTGGTTTATTAAACCCTCCATTATCCCAGATGTTATAAACTTCACTTTTGCATTCATCATGATAAACCCCCTCTTCTGCCTCTCTTCTACAAACTCATCTCCTGTGCTAGGCTTCTGAAATGTTACATCAGTATCTAGGACATCCTGGGCCCTTGATTACACCTTCCAATGCCATCAGAGGTGTCAGTGGTTCCTTCTTAGATAAAGAGAGAGGCCATATAGTAAAATGGCAAAGGTCATGAGCTCTGGCCTCAGACTGCCCAAGTCCAAATCTTGGTTATCTCACTCACTAGGCATACAACCTTAGGCAAGCTATTTAACCTCCCCCAGCTTCCATTTTACTCATTCATCAATAATACCATACACCTTTATAAAGGTCAAAGGAGTTAAAATATGAAGTGTTTAGTGGAGTGTCTGGCACAAAAAAGTACTCAGAGTTATTTTTCTTTTTTTAGAAAAGTTATTGCCAAGCCATGCATGCTTTAGTCCTTTCAACTTTGAACATTCACTCCAGATAGCCTTGATATAATTCTCATTATCTCAATAGCTCTAATTATCACATCAATATCTAATTAATACATTAAAAATACAGCAATTTTGCCTAGAAGGATATATAAAATCATGCTTCAAATACTACATGAAATACAGCTTCAGATATCCTTACCGAGCCGGGACCTTCATTGGTGATACAATTAAGACCAAGCAATGAGTAGCTGCCAGGGTACCACATTCTCTCAAAATGATATGATTTAGGAGCACCTCCACTTTATGAGAAATATTTTACCTATGGTTGAAGGTATTGTTTAACTAAAGACCTTTATGATGCACAGCACATACCACCATACACACACACACACACACACACACACACACACACACACACACAGATATATATATCAGAAACTTTTATTTGACAGCAAAATGAAAGAAACAAGGTAGTAATCAGGAGACTTATATACTAGTCCTGGCTCTGCTCTTATTGGTAATTTGCTTACCTATCTTCAGCCTCAGAGTCCCTATTTATATTTTTAAAAATGATGGGTGTTTTAGAAGTCAGCAAACTGAAATGGTCAGCAGTGGGCCAAATCCAGCCAAATGCCCATTCACTTATGTATTAGCTATAGCTCCCTTCTTGCAATAATAGTAGAATTGACCAGGTGTAATTGCAAAAGAAACTGTATGGTCAATAGTAGTGAAAATACTTATTCTCTTGTCCTTTACAGATATAGTGCCAGCCCCTGGAGTGATTTTCAAACCGTGTTTTAGAGGCCTAGTGTACTATCGAGTGTTTCAGAGGCCACTAATGTGTGAGCTGTATCAAATGGTTCCTCTTATATGTTTTTTTATTTTATTTTATTGATTTTTTACAAAGAAGAAGGGAGAGGAGAGAGATAGAGAACTAGAAACATAGATGAGAGAGAGATATTGACCAGCTGCCTCCTGCACACCCCACACCAGAGATGTGCCTGCAACCAATGTATATGCCCTCGACCGAAATCAAACCTGGGACCTTTCAGTCCACAGACCGACGCTCTATCCACTGAGCCAAGCCGGTTTTGGCTGATATGTTTTATATATTAGCATTATACATAAAACTTCATCCCAAAAAAAGATTGCTGCCCTTGCCAATGTTTCTCAGTGGTTAGAGTGTCGGCCTGTGCACCAAAGAGTCACCATGGGTTAAATTTCCAGTCAAGGGCAGGTACCTGGATTGCAGGTTTTATCGCCACCCTGATTGGGACATGTGCAAGATGCAACCAATTGATGTGTTGATGTATCTCTCTCACCTCTCTTTCTCTCTCTCTCTCTCTCTCTCTCTCTCTCTCTCTCTCTCTCTCTCTCTCTCTCTCTCTTTCTCCCTCTCTCTCCCTCTCTCTCCCTCTCTCTTTCCTTCTCTCCCTCCCTCACCTTTCCTCCCTCTCTCTCTTGGACTCTTTCTAAAAATAAATGAGAAAAAAATCCCCAAGTGAGGATTAACAAACAAACAAACAAACAAACAAACAAACAAACAAACATTCCTGAGGATCCCATGGCATTACTCCCCTCAGTGCCATTGGATATATCATTTTATCTCTTAAGAACACCTTGTGCACTGGGTCTTATGAGGTTAAAACAATATTAAGCTAGACAGATGCTCTCAGATGTTCTCTAATAGTCTTTTGATTCACAAATATTTTAAGAATCTAGGCTTCCCCTTTTCGCCTTCAACACTGACAAATAAGTAAGAGGGTTATTGCAAAACAAAGATCCTAGAATTCCTTACAGGAACACTCTTAGAGATAAAAACAAAAGTCCTGCCTTAGTTTGTATGCACGTACATGCATGCCAGAGACAGAATATAAACGTGTATAGTCACCATAGGATCATAGATAATTTATTTTTCTATGTTTTCAGTATTCAAAGAAGTAAAAGTCC